ATATTTATTATATATTTCTAAGTATTTAATTATTATATCCTTATTTGAATTCAACTCATTACCTTTTTCACGTTCTCTCCAAATCCTGTCTGCATCTTTCAACCTTCGCGAATGGCAATAAAAAAAATTCTTACTTTTTCTAATTGATTTTGTTGATTCTCTCTCCCTTATTTCTTTGACTTCTCTTTTTCACATTCAATTTCCTTTCTCTTCCATTGTTCTTCCCCCTCGGTAATCATCCCCATAGCCTTTTTCTCTCTTCAGTTTTCATTTCTAAATCCCAAAATTCTTATGGACTAAAACTAAAATTTTATTTAGGTAAATGATTTCTTGTTACTAAATTCTCTGATGAAATTCAATAGAAAAATAAAGTAAAATCGGTAGGAGAATATAGTCTTTGTTAAAAATTCATCGAATCACAATCTAATAACATTTGAATTTCTTTTGGGCTGGTTGATAAATGTGATTGGAAGGTTAAATGGGCAGTACCTCCACCAATGGAAGATGGTTTCATGAGAGAGGAATGAAGTAGGTGAATCTTAATGTTATGTTTAATTTAAAAAAAATGGAAAAAAAATTAGATTTTTTAACAAATTCAATTATATTATTTATGAATGTTATAAATTAATTAATTAAAAAAAACATCCCTTTGCCCTTTCCCTTTCATTCAAATTTTTTCTCACAAACCAAATATATAACTTTTTTTTTTTTAAACAGTGGGGAATGTGAGGGGAAATAAAGGGTTGCACACTGCAGTTTTAAACTCTGATCGAAATCATGAATTTAAGTGCATCCAACCAAAACAGTCGAAACTATAGATGCAACCAAATATATAACTTTATAAGTCAGATGTTAGCATTTTATATTTTGAGAATAGTTCCATTAAATTCAAAATTTAATCAATTCTATAGATTTATATAGAGTGTGAATTTATAATATTATTTTGTAATATTCATGTGGAATTGCCTGAAATCAAGCAATCAGATTACATAGAGTGTGAGTTTATAATAGGTTAAAACCCTTTTTTAGTCCCTGAACTATTGTATGGACCTCCGATTTGATCCCTGAACTAAAAAAATCCTTGATTTAGTCCATGCTGTTTACCATTTTTACCCTGATTTAGTCCTTCCGTTAAAATATCACCGTTATCTTACGACAATTTAATGACATGTCAAACATTTGAGACACATCAGTTATATAAATGAATAAATAATGACATGGCAACATGACATGTCATGTTCTTGCCCAACCTAACAAAAGTGGGGCCCACCAAAATTACGAATTTGCTATCATCTTCTTCCTCTAGCAAACAAACCCAACACCTGGGTTGAATCGAACCCAACAGCACCCTTTTTTTTTCCTTCCTCTTCCTTGCCTTGCTTTCTTCATCATCATCAAACACCAAATCCACCAAAAAAAAAAATATTTTTTACCCCCTGGGTTCGACGAAACCCAGGGTTGGGTTCCATGGAACCCAGCTGGTTCACCGTTGGGTTCCAAAGCTTGCTTTCTTCATCATCATCAAACACATCATCATCAAACACCAAACCCACAGATATTTTTTACCGCCTGTGTTTAAGGAACCCAGGCGTGCTGGGTTCTTCGAACCCATGCCTGGGTTCCGTCAAACCTGAGGTTGGGTTCCAAGGAACCCAACCCAGGCAAGCGTGCTGGGTTCGGTTCCTTGCGAACCCAGCCCCTGGATGGGTTCGAAGGAACCTAACCCCTGGGTGGGTTCGAAGGAACCCAACATGTGGGGAAAGAGAAGGGAAAGGGGAAGGAGAAAGAGAAAGGGAAAGGAGGAGAAAGAGAAAAGAAAAAAAGATTAAAAAAAAAATTAAGTTTTAATTTTTATAATATTTTTTTTATATTATTATTTTTTTCACATCATCACTTTTTGGCTAAATTATCTTCCACGTGGATTACTATATGACATGTCATTTGGTAACCGTGAAGTAATAGGCCATGTCACACAATTTTTAACGGAAGGACCAAATCAGGGTAAAAATGGTAAACAGTAGGGACCAAATCAGAAATTTTTTTAGTTCAGGGATCAAATTTGAGGTCCGTGCAATAGTTCAGGGACCAAAAAGGAGTTTTAACCTTTATAATATTAAACTCAAACATTTTATAAGACTTTCTCTCTCGCCAATGGCATTGCCGTGTTTTCAAAATGTTAGTGGAAATGTGGAATTGCCTGCCTTCCAGCAAAGCTAAACAGGGAACAACTTTATGGAAAAGGCCGGGAACACAATTTAGAAAAAGCAATTATTAGTCCTTTTAACTCACTCTGTCCCCAAGATAGGACAAATTTAGTCATGTTTTTATGTTTATTAGCCCATAAAAGACAGAAAATGTCAGTTTGACATTATATGGATGTACAATTATTTACCAGCATCAACGTTGTAGACTAAGTGGGTGTTTGGTGCAGCTGGTCGGAAGACCTTTTGAAGTCCAAAAGGTGTAGCTGCACCAAACACCCTAACTTTTGAAATGAGCTTCAGCTCCCGGGAAGCAAAAGTTAGCTTCCACCTTTTGAAAATTGAGAAGTAAGGAATTTGAAGCTTTTGCGGGAGCTTCCAGCTTCCAATTAATGAAATTGACATGTTATACCTATTTTACCCTTATATCTTAATAAATTTACTATTAAACCACTATATATACCTCCTCATTTATAACCCAAACCCGTTTTTTCTTTAATTCTCATCTTCTCCACCTGCCGATTTCCTCTGTTCTAGTTTCGAAGCCGTTGTTTCCATCTCCTTCTTTCAGTCTCTTTTCTTCTTCATTCTCTGCTTGTTGGTTGGTAGTGTAAGTTGGTGAAAGTTTTAATTTTTAATCCCTTCTCGTTCCTTGTCTTCTTGCAGATCTGGGCCAAGCGACGAAGCGGCATGGGTCGGTGAAGCCGAACGAAGCGGCAATACCGGAGGGGAGTGAAGCGGAGGGTGTTCCGGCCACGAGACTTGACAAGAACTTTGGATTCTCGAAGCATTTTGGGAGCAAGTGCGAGCTAGGGGAGGAAGTTCAGAGAGGCCATTTTGGTTATACATGCTCAACCAAGTTCAAGAAAGGGGAACTCAAAGGACAACAAGTTGCTGTTAAGGTTATATCCAAAGCGAAGGTAAGCTTTATTGGAGAGTATCACGGAGTAGAATAAGGAAATCAGGAAATCAATTTCTGCACTATCACTACAGAGTTATTTACAGAATGTATATATTTTTTTCCTTGTACAGTAGCGTCTTTTTAGGCTTCATTATTGGTACTAGTTTGTATATATGACTAGCATCCATAGTAATGAAATTCAAGCAATTAGCACAATTCGCTGCTTCATACTCTATTTTCTCATGGTATCAGAGCAAAGGAGTCTAAATTGACAGCAAGGTTTTGCTGCAACAGCAGGTTAGAACAGCAAGTTTTGCTGCCCTGAGAAATCAATGATGACAGACAATGACCAAGCCAAGAAAGGATCTGGGGGAGCAAGGGGAGACAAGGTTGTCCTCAAGACAACAGATCTGGACTCACCTTATTATCTTCATCCCAGTGATGATCCTGGCAGGGTTCTAGTCACATCTCCTTTAACAGGAGAAAACTTCCATACATGGAGGAGAGCAATGCAGAATGCTCTATATGCAAAGAACAAAATGGGGTTCGTTGATGGAACTCTTAAGAAGCCAAGTGCAGATTGTCCAGAATTTCTGGCTTGGACGAAGTGTAACTCCATGGTGTTGTCATGGATATTGAATGCTCTCTCAAGGGAATTACATGGCAGTGTGGCTTATGCGGAGAGTGCAGCAGAGGTCTGGGAAGATTTGAAGGAACGTTTCTCACAAGGAAACACATCCCGAATATATGAACTGAGGCTCGAGCTCGCAACAACCACTCAACAAACAAGATCTGTAACAGCTTATTTCACAAAATTGAAACCCATTTGGGATGAGTTGCAGGCTCATGAACCTGTGCCAACATGTACTTATGGCTGCACTTGTGGTGCAACAAAGGAGTTTACAAGGGCACGAGAGACTGAGAAGGTTCATCAATTTCTCATGGGCTTGAATGAGAATTTTTCTACCATGCGCTCACAGATTTTGAATATGGAACCATTACCATCTCTCAACAAGGTTTACTCAATGGCCACAAAAGAAGAAAAACAGCAAATGGTGTCTGCATCTAGAAGTCCAGCTATAGAGGCAACGGCTTTAGCAGCAAAGACAAGTTATAACGGAAGGGTGAGCACATCAGGGAAACCACGCTGTGATCACTGCAAAAGGATAGGCCACACAAAGGAAAGATGCTATGAAATAATAGGCTATCCAGTGAGTTGGAAACTAGGACAAATGAAGATGAGGGGTAAGGGGGAGCAGCAGAAACATCAGAACACAGATAAGGATGTGATTTTTGCAGCAAATGCATCACTTGACCCACAAATGACTAGAGGTCAATTGGATCAATCGCCAATTACAGGACTTACCAAGGCACAGTATGATCAACTCCTCACGCTTCTTGGTGGTAATTCTGATTCTAAACAATCTATCAATCTTGCTGGACCTAGCCTCGAGGAGGTTGATTGGAATGGGTAAGCTTCATGATGGGCTTTACTATTGTGATTTTGGGCATGTAGCAGCCACTAGTCATACCAAGAAGGACGACACATCCTTGGAGTTATGGCATCAACGGCTTGGGCATGCACCTCTAGAACGACTAGCCAAAATATCTTCCTTACCTTCATGTTCAAATCAAATAAAACATGTTTGTGATGCTTGTCATCGAGCTAAGCAAACAAGACTACCTTTTCCTATTAGCAATAATAAATCTGCTCATCCTTTTGCCTTAATTCATTGTGATATATGGGGTAGATATGCCACTCCATCTAACACTGGTGCACATTATTTTTTAACCATTGTGGATCATTTTTCACATTGCACATTGGTGTATCTTTTAAAGCACAAATCTGAAACTGCATCATATTTGATAAATTTTTGTCATATGGTGGAAAACCAATTTCACACTCATGTGCAACAGATTCGAAGTGACAATGGTAAAGAATTCACTGAAGGGCAAGTGAAGGAATTTTGCTTTAAGAAGGGAATTATACAACAAACTACATGCACATATACACCTCAACAAAATGGGGTTGTCGAAAGAAATCATCGTCACCTTCTTGAGGTAGCACGAGCTTTAAGATTTCAAGCCAATCTACCATTAAGATTTTGGGGTGAATGTATCCTCACTGCAGCTTACTTAATCAATTTAACTCCTACACTTGTGCTTTCAAATTTCACACCATTTGAAAAACTTTTTCAAAAAGCTCCTAATTATTCACATTTAAGAGTGTTTGGGTGCCTTTGTTATGCACACAATCACTCTAAGGATCGTGGAAAATTTGATTCCCGAGCAACAAAATGTGTGTTCATTGGCTATCCTTTTGGGCAAAAGGGATATAGACTTTTTGATTTAGAAAGCAATCAAATCTTTATTTCACGAGATGTGGTTTTTTATGAG